AGAAAAGAAAATTCTGGTACTTTTCATTGTTTTCATTGTTATGTGCTTGAGAGACTTGTGAATAATTTCATCTATTATCATGTAGTTTTCCGTATATTGATTGGAGGAATGTTTTGTGTGAGAGTGAAAGAATTGAATTTACACCGGTTGTGGTTGCAGGTAGACAGATCTTAGATTATATAAGTATTGATTTCCCTTTGGAAAAAATTGAATAATTTTATATTAATAATAATAATAATGATAATAATAATAATGACGATGCTAATAATAATAATAATAATAATAATAATAACCGATAACATGTCTCTCTACAACGTATAAGTTGATCACGTCTGTACTGACGAACCGTACTTATTCCTTTTTCGAACAAACAGCATTCTCCCACTGGAACAGAAGGGATGCAGAAGAGGTTCATATGGCTGCAAAGATCAACTTCTGATAAATAAAATGATCCTGGAAAATTGCAGAAGACGACGCAGAAATCTTAGTGCAGCGTGGATTGATTATCGTAAAGCCTTTGATAGTGTTACACATTCTTGGATCCTTAAGACTTTGGAAATGTACAAAGTCTCCCCTGTGGTATTAAATTTCCTTAAGCACAGCATGGGAATGTGGAACACCAAACTATACCTTAGTCACACCGGGGGCACTGCCATATCCAACCGCCTGAATATCCGACGTGGAATCTTTCAAGGAGATTCTCTGTCACCCCTTCTGTTTTGTTTATCCTTAATCCCTCTTACACATGAACTGAACAACAGTAGCTATGGTTACAAAATAAATAAGAAAATATTCAATCACCTACTCTACATGGATGATGTCAAACTCTTTACCAAAGACGACAATGAGTTGAAAGGCCTCCTCAATATTGTAAAATACTTCAGTGACGACATAGGTATGGACTTCGGATTAGATAAATGTGCAAAAGTAGAAAGGTAGAATTACAGAAACACCCTTAATAGATTTAGATTTTGTCACAAAGATTAGGGAACTGGAGCATGATGAAGCTTATAAGTACCTAGGAATTAGCGAAGGAGATGCCATACAACACCCACAAATGAAGGAAAAAAAAAGAAGCCAACAAATTCAAAATGGAGTTTCAAATGGGCGTAGAGATGCAACTACAGCACAATACACCGGCTGAAACTGCAAAATACCTAAAAAAGACAGCGAAGACGAATGCAACCGACCAGTTACAGAAACGATGGCAAGATAAACCGCTTGATGGCCAATACTCTGCCTGTACCAAACAAGCTGACGTAGACAAAACCCGTACCCATCATTGGCTACGTAGTGCAGGGTTGAAAGCTGAAACTGAAGGTTTTATCCTTGCTGCACAGGACCAATGCTTGCTAACTAGGAATTATCAAGCACATATACTAAAATATTGTGTTAGCCCAAAATGCAGATTCTGTGATAAATATCCAGAAACGATTGATCATCTTGTATCAGGTTGCACGATATTGGCACCCACTGAATATAAAACCCGACATGACAGAGTGGGCCAATATCTGCACTGGAAAATCTGCAACTTCTACGGGAAGGAAACTGAAAGAAACTGGTATGAACATCACCCAGACCCGGTTACGGAGATAGGACCTGTTACAATTCTATGGGACTACACAATACACACTGACAGAACAATCAAGGCCAACCCTTGAATATTGTTATTAAAGACCACAAACAAAAACGGTGCCTCCTTATTGATATGGCAGTCCCTGTTGACTTTGAAGATATTCAAAAAGCTGTCAAAATACAAGAACCTTGAAATAGAAATCTCGAAAATGTGGCATATGGGAACATCAACAATCCTTGTTGTAGTTGGAGCCCTAGGACTGGTTGGAAAAGATTGCAATAGACTAATTGAAGGGATTACTGGAAGTCCATGCCTCAAGATGATACAAAAAATTGTTCTGACAAGTACAGCCCACACTTTACGAAGGGCTTTATCTATGTAATTTTTTTTTTTTTTTTTTTTTTTGTCAGTGGAAAGTGTCATGATGCCATTTCTAACCTTAGGTCCCCGGGCGGGACCCGGAAAGAAATGTGTAAACGCCAGAAATCAAAGAAAATAAAAAAAATAATAATAATAATGAAAACAGCTTAGTATGCACTCTAATTATTCAGTAGAGTTTTAAGAAAATCCAATGAAACTGATTAAAATAATTATTTTAACTTATTATTTAGAGAGTGCCATAAATTATTTTCATCTAATTTGACAGATTTATTCTTATGTGAAATTTATGTGTCAACAATGCTTATTATGAAGGTGTTCTAAATTAAGGCTGGATTTTCACAAGACATGTATACATTCTTTCTATAGAAAAGGGATTCATTAGGAAAAAATTATTGACAATAACAATGTTAATATATGGCAGATTTCTGAATATTAATTAAAAATAAATAACACAAAAGAAATGTTTATCAAAATAAGCTTTTAAGAATTGTCATGCAAATGAATTATTCACGCGTATATTGTAAATGCTGACTCTCAGTAATATATATAAACGACTGATATGGCAGTGAATGCTGGACAATCTCATTAAAGATGAGGAAAAGACCTGACGCAACAGAAATCTTGTTTTAGAGAAGGATCCTGAGAATACCATGGATCGAACATGTGAGCAACGACGAAGATTTAGAGAAATGCGAACAAAAAAAGACACTTATACATAACATCAGGGATAGACAGCTGAAATTTCTATGGCACATAATGAGGAGAGAAGGCTTGGAAAATCTGACACTCACAGGACAGATTGAAGGTAAGACGAACAGAGAAAAACAGCGCATAACCTTCCTAACGAGCTTGTAGATGGATAGTGTTTTAGGAAAGATAGCAAAAAGATAAAATTTACTAAGTGCTACAAAAGACAGAAAATTGTCTTAATATCCCAAAGAGACATGGCACGTAGAAGAAAAATCAAGTTTATTACATGTTCTTTTAGAGATGGGTCGTTTTCACATACTGATGTATAGTGAGTACACACAGACAAAATTTGGCCTTACGCGAATTTGCGAAAAATTAGGACTGTATTCATAACAATCAAGTTGAAGTTCCGCTATATTTAAAGTGATGTTTTGCTTCTGAAAATGTGACATTGTTTTCTAAACAATCTAATATCGTACATTAAGAACGTATCTATGATGAAAGCAAAACAATATGTGCGGAAGTTTAAATATCTGGGAAGTGTTTTGACGGAGGACAGTCGGTGCGACACTGTGATCCGAAGACGGATTGGAATGGCCAAGGATGCATTCCAAAAATTGGCAGAGTATTGCGAGACAGAAAGATTTCTTTGGTGACAAAGAAAACAGTACTGAGATGCTACGTAACATCTATAGGGCAGCAAATGTTGAACTGTCGCCTCAAAGATGAAGAAGAGACTCGAGGCAGCGGAGATGTGGTTCTACAGAAGGATGATAAGGATATCATGGAGCGAGAGTGTGAACAACGATGAGGTATTGGAGAGGATGCAAACCAGGAGGAAGCATTATTATTATTATTATTATTATTATTATTATTATTATTATTATTACCATCATCATTATCATTATTATTATTATTATTAATATAAAATTATTTTTCTAGAGGGAAATCGATACTTAAAGAATCTAAGTTCTGTCTACTTACAACCACAACCGGTGTAACTTCAATTCTTAACATAAGGAAGAGGCAGATGATTTTCTGGGACACGTAATGAGAAAGGAAGGCATGGAGAATCTGACACTCACAGGTCAAATAGAGAGAAAAAAGACAAGGGAAAGCAACGGGCTTAAGCAAGGTGATGGCAGCACGTGGTCTGGGGGAGTTGACAGAGGCACGAAACTTATGGAGAGCTACAAGGGATAGGAGGAAGTGGAGAGCCATAATCGCCTACGTCCTGAAAGGACACGGTACAGAAAGAAAAGAAAATTCAGGCAAAGAAATCAATCCTATATCTTGGTGTAATTTGTTTTTATATCGTTATACTTTTTTTCTTTTTCATTTCTTTTGTGTTTTTTATCGATTTCGGGTGATCTAAATTTAGAATCTTATTTGCGAACGAGATGTTTAAGTAAGTAAATATAGAAGAGGACAAACAGTTATTACATACGAAGAAATAAGAAAAAAAATCGTTCAACTCTAAAATAAACTGTGAAATAAACCAATGAGTGTATTAGACTCGTAAGAGGTAAATATGATCAAAATGCCCGAAATACATTTGAGTTGTCTTTAGCCACTAACAAAAATAGACAGAGCTTAGCAATTCTGAAATAGTGATTATCTCTTCTTACGCTGGTTTAATTTCAATTTAAAAAGAAAAAAAAAATCTTTAAATATTCAGGAGTTTTGAGATTAACAAAAGAGGAATCCAATATAGAGACGTTTGTCAAAATTCAAACTTTTTTTTTTTTCACAATGACTTTCACTCTGCACAAGGCCCAAGAACCATTCCAGGTAGAGGATTACAGTGTAAGTGGCATCACCGCAAGAAAGGCGGTAATACCAAGAAGACGCAAGGAGTCATCGGAAGTGAAAGGGAAGGAAAAGACATTAATGGCAACCGGAAAACAAATCCTAAACAAGAAAAAAAGAGAGAGGAACCTCTCCTTTTGTTCAAAAGATCGGGTAGACGTGTGAACGGGACAGTAGGCAAATCTATCTACTGCTATCGGGGGAAAATGTAAATAAATAGTAAATAAAAGTTCACAGTTTTAGGCGTAGACGTTAGGAATATATAGCTAAAGTAGACATTACAAGGGACAGGAAGCCCAGTCCTAATCAGGAAACAAGGGATAAACATCTACTCCTGTCCCAAACATCGGAGAGGAATGTGAACTATACAATAGAAAAACATATCTACTATTGAGGAAAAGGTTTAAATAAATAGTAAATAAAAGTTCAGAGTTTTAGGCGGAATCCTTAGTAGTATATATATATCTGAAGTAGACATTACAAGTAACAGAAATCCCAATCCTAAACAGGAAACAAGAGATAAACTTCTAATTTTCTTCAAGAGACCTGGGACAAGCGTGAACCTATAGATAAACCTAAATACTCCTATTTGAAATACAATCTATCTATCTATCTATCTATCTATCTATCTATCTATCTATCTATCTATCTACTATCCATATTTCTCATGTTGTCTGTCTGTGTGTCTGTCGTGGGCGTTGTTACCTCGCCCAGGCCGCATTTCTCACCCGATTTCGATGCGGTTTTCAACACAAGTTTGCAAATGGCTGCCCATTTCAGTTCGGACTCAGGTTCCGAAAAAATCGATAATCGAAAAAATCGATAATCGAAAAAATCTGCTTACAGAAGGAATTATTGCATTTCAACCAAATTTGACACCCTCTTAGAGTCTACCATTAGAAGTGTTGTCCAGAAGTTTCATGACCACGGACCCCTAAACAGCGCGGAAAATCGATAAAACCCAAAAACCGATACGCCCAGATTGCGTCTGAACCGCATGTCTGTTTTTAGCGAAAACCGATCGGATTTATGAGGAGGCCATTGAGAGTCACCATGTGAAGTTTCAACTCTGAGCGCCCCCACCCCAAACAGAGTGCAAATGGACAATCGGTCAACCCATAAAAATATTTTTCCGGTTAGGTATTTCCTAAATGCAGATTAATTTAAGGTCACGCTATGCGCGGGAAGAAACAGGTTAGTGCGTGCAGTGCTGTATGAGTCGTACGATTTTTCAATCAAGCACGGGCAACGCCGGGCCATGCTTCTAGTAAGTTGATACAACTTTTCAGACACTGACTTTTTTGCGTAATGTTAAAGAAATCTAAAAACTGTCTCTCTGTCTCAAGCGATCTAGGGTTGAGGATGTCCATAGATACCCAGAATACCTTGGCTGCCTCATCTTTCAAAGGTAAATATGAATTCTCTCAACATCCGGCCATGAATATTCCCCACTACTCCCACTTACAAACAGAGACACATAGTTCGTCAGCCCTTAGAGAACATGCCTAACTGTTTAAGGCCAGGAATCTGACTACTGTAGCCCATCTTAATTCACTAAAACAAAATATTTACACGTTAATAACACTAACCAGCAAAGATTAGAGGCCATAGGGCAGGTACCTCCAAGGGTTCACTAAAATATAAGTATGCATGTTGAAGGAAATGCCCCAATATAAACAAAGTTTTATCATCAAAGCTTTAACTTATCATTAGGAGGAAAGATCGAACTATTTTTATTATTAAAATACTTTCCTTTTTAATCCTATTAAAACCTTCAACATTTTTGGTTAAGAATTTTTTTCTTGCAACAACGGTAAGTTAGTCTGGGAAATTTTAGCGTCTTTTCGTATTGAAATACACATTGATTTGGAAATTTTTGCAAAAATCACATAATTGTTGTATTTTAATGAAACTCTCAGAAATAAATAAATATATTTTAGAAAAGATTTTGTTTTAAAAAAAAACCTTCGTAAACCTATCTTTTCTACACCTGATACCATTACCACTTATTTAATTTTATGAAACTTCGAGAAATTCATTTTTGTACGGCTTAATGTTTATATTAGTTATAAGCTGAAGTCTTTGGAGAATTTAAGTCATCGATTTTTTTCTAAAAAAGGACATCCAGTTACCGACAATCTGCTCTGAATCGTAAAATAAAAAAATGCAATAAAACTAAAACATTATTTAATTAAAAAGAAACAAAAAAAAAACTTGTAATTGCTTTTATGAACAATATATATTTATGGACACAACAGTATTAAGAAAATCATTTTTCCATGAATAATAAATTTTTACAAGAATTATTTTCATTTTGTTAAATATTTTAATTAGAATAATTTGTAAAGTTTTAAATCTTTTGAAATTCTGTATTAATTTGTAGCGGTTAGGTAATATTGTTATTAAGTAAAATCTATATTTACTCATCATATATGGAAAAGCTTATCACAATTCATTGTCCTCCAGTATTTTAAAAATAATGCGTGTGTGTTGTGTGTATTTGTGTGTGTGTAAACCTGCCGATTTTTGGAAATACGAACATCCATAGTCAACATTATAAGCCAGAGCAGTAACTATATTAAATATAAAAGTCAAAGTACCAAAACTTTAATAAAACTTTAGATTACTTAGAATATTTTCGTATTTTTTAAAGATTACTGGATAGTTAAAAAAATTATAGAAAAAAAGCACCCACGTTATATTCCTCAATTAACTTTACGGATATTTTACTGCAGAAAAAATTAGTTAAATTTCACAAAACTCCGGCTGTTAATAGAGTTGTCAACACCACATAAAAAAAAACTACCCTTTGCGTTGTCTATTAGAAAGAAACCACAAGACTTCTTCCTTTTACCCGCGTACCGACTGAGATTCATTTCGTTACTTTCTTCAAGATGCCTATTGAAGTGTGATTTTTTTTACCTTCCTATTGAGAATTGGGTCACAGAGGTTAGAGTTAAGGTCCGGCTTCAATGTTTTTTTCCTTCTCAGAAATAACATTTGAAACTCAAGTCGTCTTCTTGGTTCACACCGGCCTGATCAGCTTTTATAGCCTACAGGAATCACTTCTTCCGGTTGTTCCAAAGTTATAATTCCGATCACAACAGACACTTATTTCTGCTCGTGATAATCGCAAATGTGTCCGCAAAGAGGCCAAGTCTTTGCTTGCAGATAGAATGAAGCATCACATAACCTACTAACGAGTTTGGCTCTCGTGATTACTGGCGGCTATGTAACAGTGTCTTAAATAAGAGTAAGTCTGCTACTCCTCTTCTATTCATTCAATTTGAGGTGCTAACAACTTCTATTGATAAAACAGAATGATAAAACAAGATACCTGGGTCTTGATGGTAACTCTGCAATAATCCTTAAGAAACGCGCTCCTGAATTGGATCCTGTCGTCTATAAACTGTATAATAAATGCTTTGCTGCTTCTTACTTTCCTGCTTGTTGGAAATCCTCTTTTGTAGTTCCAGCCTATCAGCCTTCTACCTTTGGAAATTACTAGAGACTCTAATCAACTCTAAATTGGTTAAGAATCTCACCTTGCAGGGTCGTCTTTCAGGTAAGAAATATAACTTTCGCTTCGATTGAATTAACGGCTATTGCTGGAAGAATTTTTCAATTTATCAAGCGTTAGATAAGAATGGTGAAGTGTGGACTGTAGCCCTGAACCCTGTGTTGATGGCAGAAACAGAAAAGCAACTGTCGTCATTTACGCTGACGTGCCTTACCTTAAATGACGGTTCCGTATAGGATGCAGGTTCGAATCCTGTCAAAGAACGAATATTTTCTATGAAAATTTCTCGGACATTCAGGCCGGTAAATGTTATTTAATACTGTTTATCATAAACAGAGCATTTGCTTAAATACTTGTATCTATAAATAACAACGTTAAACATAAAAATGTCTTTAATAAATAAATTGTCGGACCTTGTCCATTTCTTAATATATATAATATATATATATATATATATATATATATATATATATATTTGTGTGCTAAAAGGGAAAAAGTAATAGGAAAATTGTATTATTAGCCCACTCGTTTCGTCCAGTGTGAACTTTTTCAAGGCAAAAGGAATTAATTTATTAAAAACAAAGTAACTATTAACAACGAAAAATATCCTTAGCAACTAGAAGAATGACATTTTGTTTTGTTGTTAATAGTTAATTTGTTTTTAATATTTTCGTTTGGAAAAAATGGACGAAACGCGTCGGGTAATAATACAGTTTTCCTATTGTCTTTAGCTTTATACATATTCTCTTTTTCTACAGGTTAATTATATATATATATATATATATATATATATATATATATATATAGATAGATAGATAGATAGATAGATAGATAGATAGCACAGAACAGTGAAAAAATGAAAAGGAACCCTGAAAGTCATTGAGAAATGAATGGAATCAATTATCAAACTTATACTTTGAGAAACTTTTGCAATGAATGTCGAAACAAGGCTAAAAAGAGGATTTATTGACGAGAGCAAAATTTAATCATAAAATGATATTTTCCTTTTGTCATAATAAAATTTGTAATAAACATCATGACTCACTTTTTTAACTGTATAATAATTTTCTCTTGGTTAAAGTACAAAACAACTACATTTGGGGTCAATTTTATAAAATTACCAGCTGTAAATTTCCAACTGTCGTGTGTGTGTATATATATATATATATATATATATATATATATATATATATATATATATATATATATATATATATATATATAGAGAGAGAGAGAGAGAGAGAGAGAGAAGAGAGAAAGAGAGAGGGGATGAGAGATTAAAAAAAAAAGAAATACAGAAATACAAAAAAATCTTCTGATTTACCGTTTCCATGGATTCAAAAATCCTACGCTGTCCTCTCTGACGTAACGGCGATCGATTTTTTACTCGCGATATTCAATGATGTATTTGTCGAAAATAGATAAATCAGGTTGAAGTTTCTTCGGATGTCAAATATGCAAAAATAATGTTGGCAAGAATACAGACCTGATTAATTTATTTGCCGGGAAGGGAGAAAAGTACAACGACTTTCTCTTCTAAGTCTTCTCAGTATTATTTATATAAAATATATACACCGGTATATATTTACGTTATGTAAATGTAATTATTTTTTGCATCACACAGGTAATCGATCCGTTGATATATAATTCGGGTGGATACAAGTAATATTAATTATTAAAACTGATCCACAGAGAGCTCGGCGTATTTATTATAACAGACCATATGTATTTTTTACAGAAAAAAATAATCTCTACATGTGTTTTTTGCTGTAATATATATATATATTCTCCATTGTTGAACTCTCAGAAAATATCCAGGACCATGTCAATGTCCTGTTGGTTATTCAATTTTTCAGCTATGTAAGAAATGCCAGGATGTAGTCAAAGACATCCCGGTATACAACTTATTCAACTAGTGTCTTACGAAAGACCGACATCGAATCTCAATTTAAATATCTTTTGGACGATTGCATCTCTGATAAAAATGTTAATACGTATGTTAGTTTTAGAACAACCACGATAACGAGAAGGCTTACCTTTCACTTGAACGATGATAGTTCAATCGCAGAATATTTAAATGAACACTCATGCCCACATTCACATTTTAGGCAGATATTAGTCGAAAATACATCTGTGCTTCATCACAATAATAAGACCCAATCTTAAAATTCTGGAAGGCTTTTATATAAGAGAATTACTGCCAAAAAATAACGTGTTTGGTTAAATATTTTAGATGTATTATGTCTATTTATTTTAGTTTTAATCCTTTCAAGTCCACGAATTAATTTCTTGATTGATGTCGAAAATAAATTAAGAAAAATTCCAAACTTTTCTTTCAAATAACTTTTTTTTCCGCAAGTTTTTTCAATCGCATCTGAAGCCATCTTCTGGTGTTAAATATCTATGGATGTGTTATGAGTTAACACCGTAAATTCAAAATATTTTTCAACGCTACGTAACTTATGTGATATTTAAAAATATTTTTTAATTGAAGTATTTTATTTTAGTATTTTTTATATAACATTTTGCTGCTCCAAACTTTTAAGAAGTTTGTTGCTATACTTGCAGTTGACTGCATTTTTTTTTATTTTTCAAAAATAAATAGACAAAGTTTGTCTAAATTATTTAATGAGGGACGTCTTAATGAAAACATGGCGCCAAAATATACGTAATATATATATATATATATATATATATATATATTGAACAATAAAAAATATTAAAAATTAAAATCTTCAGACACACTGGGTTGTAGATTAATATTCTTTGGGTTTTTTTTTTATTATTATTTCATTTAGATTCCCCGACTAGTTTCGACCAAAATGGCCATCATCGAGAGGAGAAATATTTCTGCTTGCTGGTAGCAGTGAACTACAGAAATGAATGTCTTGATGGAGAAAATGAACTTTTGTCTGTAGTTTTCATTTGTTTTTTTATTTTTTTATCTTTTTAACATGAATTATTTTTTTATCTTTTTAACATGAATATATATATATATATATATATATATATATATGGGGTGGACTCTCCCGTCGTAATCGACGTATTAGGGTCAGCAATTCAGTTCCTAGGAACCGACAGCCAGACACCAGCACATGAGATTTGATTATAGTGGTGGAGGCGCTGTGAAGAACCAACCACTTATTTTAAAGGGCCACATACAGAGACCTGGTGCACTATGTGCCACAAGGTCCCCAAACAACCTTCCGCAGATTTTGAATTCAGGGTTGTTCTTCTCTTAGACCCAGTTGCCATTCAAGGCTATAGAACCCAGTCTGTTCTGCTAATTACCCATAGCTGGAGGGGAGGAGAAGAGGATTCATACCTTTCCCAAAGGTAATTAACACGCAATGGTTTCGATTGGAATTTGAATTAGGCTCTCCGATCCCCCAGTCAGAGCCGCTACTCACTACTCCACCGTGCCTCCTCATATATATATATATATATATATATATATATATATATATATATATATGTGTGTGTGTGTGTGTGTGTGTGTGTTATACTAGATCATACCTATTCTATTGTAAAAAGACTCTCCCACAGATAATAAGTAGTAGTAGTAACAGTCGCCAGTAGACTCAATGAGTTGAGTGAGTCAATCGATGTCGGTCATTAAAGTATAAACCTCCACATCTAGATTGCTGCATCATTAACTATTATTTTCAAGTTCCAATCGTCGAACCTAATTTAGGACCGACTTAGTGAAATACAAGCCTCCACTGTGAAAACTACTCTACAACAATATATATATATATATATATATATATATATGCATGTATGTATGTATGTGTTTGTGTTATATTTAAATTATAAATTCTATTTTATTTACAACCTGTGTATATGTGCGTGTGTTTGTTAGATTTAAATCATAAATTCTATTTTATTTTCATCTTTGTATATGTCTGTGTTTGTTAGATTTAAATCATAAAGGCTATTTTATTTCCAAGCTGTGTGTATGTATGTGCCTTAGATTTAAATCATAAATGCTATATTATTTTCATCCTGTGTGTATGTGTGTGTGTGTTTGTTAGATTTAAATCATAAATGCTATTTCCAAGCTGTGTGCTTGTGTTTGTGTGCGTGCTAGATTTAAATCATAAATGCTATTTTATTTCCAAGCTGTAAGCTCTCAGCTTTTACCGCCAAGTACTCTTGAGTATCCGTCCGTAAGTCTTTTAATGCATCGTTGTACACAGAATTACTTTCACATGGTGCATTCGATAGAATTCACTTTCGAGTAAAAATCACGTTAAAGCGCTCTCCGCTTTACTCGAGTAGGCAGATGACCTATTGCAAAGAACAACTGACTAAATAACAGCTAGCAGAGAACAGTTGCCATTTCTGTCAATCCGATCAATACATGAATACTCGCCTTCTCTCGGTATGTCTTCTGCCTACATCGTCGGTACGGTCGCGTCGGCATTGAACAACACTGGAAAAGACGGGATATCCTTCTAGACCCACCATCTCCTTGAAGGCGTTGAAAGGTGAGGGAATGATGGTGTAAATAAATAATAGATAAATTTGAAAAAAAAAAAGAAGAAATCGATGTGGGTGTGATGTGTGCGTAAGAATACTGGTAGTGGGTTGGAGATGTCGGTACCGTGAGAAAATGGCACGGGATTGTCTTCTTCAAAAAGTCCGATGTAGATTGGACAAGCCGATCGATACAGATTTGAAGGAATGACGTCAGTAAATCGGGAAATTCGCAATTCACGAATAGACTTCCCAGCAGCTGACACTAATTTCCCGTCTGGTCTGTGTGTACGCACGCGCGGGTTGGACCGTCTGGCTATTTCCTAGTCTGACACAGGAGCGCATAAATGGTGTGCAAGGAGCACTCAATGAAAACCCATAAAGTGTCGATGAGCCGTAAAAATCAAAATCAATCAAGCAAACTTATTGCCATAACTTTCACTTTCTAGCATTTTGTCTTTCATTCATATTGCATACACATTCGTTTCGACAGTAATATTCTACCTTGAGGGATTCCCGAGCCTTAAACTGAGTGAACTTTACTACTAAAAATATATTCATCATGTCTGTTTTAACATTAACACTCAATCTTGAGTATCTTTAGTAATGGGTGAACATTACTATTAAATATGTGCAGAAGTGTAGGTTTTTATTGCATCGTAACCGTTTTAACCGTATACCTCTACCTTAAGTGGCACTCGAGACTTGTATTGGGTGAAGGTTACTACTAAAAATATACAAAAACGTAGTTTTTTATCATAACCATTTTAACACTATCACTCTATCTAGAGCATTGTGTTGTCTTTCATTCATATTGCATACACATTCGTTTCGACTGTAATACTCTACGTTGAGGGATTCCTGCGCCTTGAATTGAGTGAACTTTACTACTAAAAATATACAAAAGCGTATTTTTTTCATCATGTTTGTTTTAACACTAATTCTGTCTTGAGTATGTTTGAAACTTTGTATTGGGTGAACATTACTATGAAGAAGCGTAGGTTTTTATTGCATCATAACCGTTTTAACAGTAGACCTCTACCTTAAGTGGCACTCGAGTCTTATATTGGGTGAAAGTTACTACTAAAAACGTAGTTATTTTTATCATAACCATTTTAACACTAGCACTCTATCTTGAGTACTGCGTTGAGTAGCTCTTTAAATACTAAATAGTGTGCACAAATGCACAGCTTTTATCCATTAATACCACCATTCTACTTTTGAGACAGTGAGTATTATTATTTATTAGTTACCTTATAGGTAACTAATAAATAATATTTGGTGAATAAAGCCGATAAGGGGAAAATTCTCAGTCTAACTGTCATGATTTTAATCTGGTTGAAGAAACATCCAATCACTGGTTATCGTGATGTAATTTGATGCCTTATGTGTTTAAATTTTTCTGTGCACTTTTCGATCGGTTATTACCATCAGTGGTTATAGTAGACCCGGGTTCGAATCTGATCATGGTCGATTTGTCAGGAAGGTGATATAATCGGTCTGGAGGAGTCTTATCCCAACATGCGGTACCTTTGGAAAAACCATACCTTGTGAGTGAAAATTAGATAGACGAAACACTTGAGGCGGGGGCAGATGGCTGTGCTAGCACGAAGTCACGAGTCATCGTGACCGAGGGTTTTCAGTGTACTGGTTTTATTCAGACTGTTGATCGCGCTAGATAACACGCTATCTCCCAGAAACTGTAACTAAGGTCTTCTCAGCATAATTGCAGTATAAAACACAGCGACCACAGGTGGGTGTTGGACAAACACAAATGTGCCTGAGCAGTCGTCTGCAATAGGGATTAGTTAGCCACCCTATTAGACGGGTATCCTCGAATACGTGTGGCGGACCATTGTTATAGGTAAGAAGAACAGGAAGGAAGGCTCCCTACTGACTGACCCCTTGATCAGTTATTACAAATTTCCACCATTATCGTTTTTAGTTATTCTTAGTCGAAGCGACGCAATGCACCAAAGGTTAAACCTAGTTTACTGCTGGGACGCGCGTTACCGTATAATCAATGGAGACCTGGTTAGAAAAGTGAGATTGTGCGATGGTGAAAAAGCCTAAATTATCAACATACCCAGTATTGACAATCACTGATAACGAACCCCAGCGCATTTTTACGATACACATGTAAAAAGTAACGGTCATAGTATCATTCGATGTTCCCTTATCTTGATTCAAATATAAGAAATATTTGCCGATCTACTAAGTCCTGCGTATGATATGAACTACATCTGTCAGTGAGGCCTCTGATCAGGAAGTTTTCAGAAGCACGTAACCACCTCTTAATTGCTGTTTTTTCTAAGTCCACCCTGACCCTGACCTGTTCGTGTCATAGGTATGGGCAAATAGTTACCCCCTCCCTCAAACTGGAATCAAAACACTATGAAAGTGTAAAAATAGGTTTTTACAACAAAAATACCAGTAATACATTTTTGAAAAAAATTTACCAGCAATAAATATAAGAAATTATTTTTGAAAAAAATTATTACCAGCAATAAATTTTAGTATAAAATTTATTACCAGCAACACATTTGACTCTCAACAAAAACCCTTTTTACAAAAATACGTCAATGAAACCTGATCTACAAACTGATTTCTTGCAATTAATACATATTCTATTAATACGAACCTATCCTAAAAACCTTGTCTGCATTAAATAATTCATTGACTATGGAAGTAAATTTATGAAGACTCAAATATAAACGCTCAATAAATACTCATTCTCGAGCGAAATAAATGCTTAAAGACTTAAATATAATGTTAAGTGTAATGGTAATATTAGCCGTTTCCTTATAAGTAAACATTGACTGACCGAACTGCTGGTGGTACTTATAAAATATTTCTATTAAAAATAATATTTCAGAAAAAAAAGTTTCTCTCGTCTACTAACTGCTATCTTTCTTTCCAGTGTTGATCGAAGTTTTCTTTCTAAACTTCCGCTTCCGGGACGTCAATATCTTGATTATGTAATTATTTTCTCTGAGTTATACGTGCTGTTTTAGTTGTTGAACGTTGAAAGTTTTCAAGTGATATGGTATAGTTATATGTTTGTGATCCTGCAACAACAGACCACATGTTTTTTTTATTATTTTACACACACACACACACACACACACACACACACACACACACACACACACACACACACACACACACACATATATATATATATATATATATATATATATATATATATATATGTAAGCAAATATATGGATATAGTTCCGACAGTATGAAGAAAAAAATACAGAAAAAACAAACAAAATCTTAATATGCAATTATGCTGTATTAATGTTAATATAAAGTCGACGTCGGATGTTTCGGTCTATTTAAGACCATCTTCATGGACATTTTCATTTAAACATAATTAACATTAGAACATATAAAATTTAACACAAAAGACGATGGACATAAGAACACAACTAATCCAAACAGATAACTGAAATTTTTATATAAGATCAGCGTTCCGTTTAAATATGATCACGTCGTCGTCACGTGGGCGATGTTTGAAAACGTATTCGAAGATGATTTCCAAATATTAAAATATTAAAAAGTCGATTGAACTATTTTATATAAACAGTTCAAGAAATCCCTTCCGTTGATATAGAGATCAATAGGTTCTTATATCTTCATACAAGCTTGAAGTCCTTCACGTTACAAAGCAAATCAAAAATGATTTCAAAAACGATGGAACAGTTCTAAAAAACAGTTCGATAATAAATCCTTTCCATACTTTACTTTATAACATGGAAGACTTCAAGCTTGGATGAGAATATAAGAATCTATTGATCAAGGTCAGGGTAGACCTGGGAATACCAGCAATTAAGAGGTGGTCCCACGCTCCTCAAAGGTATTGCTGTCGGATGTAGTTTATCGTCGTACCCAGGACGCTTGTCGGTAAGTGAGGAGTTGTAGATTAGTTCACGTTGGTATGGATGTCTATGAGGCTGTAAAAAATATCTTCCTTAAATTTGATCAAATGAGCAAATATCAAAATATTTTGGAAGGGCTTCTTGGGTGAATTGAGATCTTTTCAGCTACTCAATTCAGGTTTTGTCGTAAAGTATAACTAACACATTTTATTACGTCCAAGTGTTTGACGACATATGTACTCTTTGCGTGACTGCCAGGACCTGTTAGCGAATAAAGTTAAGATTTCAGCTTGCTTAATATCTGGCTTGCATCAATCTAGCGGGGGTGTCTAATGGAAAGATTAGTGATTCTGTCTGCGGATGTCACTGGTCATCGGATTACTAATGTGCATAGCTATGTCATGACTTTCGGTTTTGAAAATATTCGTAATGTAATGCCATCACCTGAAGAATTAATCTCACATGAATGAAGTCTGCAACGTGAGTAGAATAAAAATATGAGCGTAAGTTCTATCCTAGTCGTTTCTTCTTATATAAACTTCTCGCTTATAGATCTCTTTTCCAGCTGCTTGCTTTCCCGTCAGCTACGATATTCAAGAATTCACATTCTACATATCAATATGTCTACCATTCGTTCATGCTTAGAATATCGCTGCCACATATGGTCCGGTGTTCCTGCTATTTACCTTGAGCTCCCTGATAATATCCAATGAAGAAACAGCAATATTATTGGTCCTAATCAGGCAACTCGGCTTCAAATCTTCCTATGAATTTAAGCGCAGCACCAGATTGGCGTCGAGATCTACACTCTTATCACGAAGACTTTGTTACTCGTCCTTCTAATAAACCAAACGCGCTAACTCGGATCTTCAGGTACCAAACAAAAATGCTTCGCCCTTAAATAACCCCCAATGTTTTGTAAACAGTAAAAAAAAAAAACCAAATCCCGCATCGGTTTCGATTAATCTCAATCCCGCCGTTACTATGATCAACGTACACCAGGATTTCCCCCGTTTTGTCAACACTGATGTAAACGTGAATTGAAATAAATGATCGAACCGTAGTCTAATACTAGACTACTTTTATGTGCTATAGTCTTTTAAGACATGAGCTAACATAGCTCTCCACAACTTCCTGCCTCTTGTTTTCTAAGTAACTTTTAATCCGTTACCATCCCTCTTGGGTATATTTCTGCTAAAATACTTTTATGGCAATTGTTCGGATGAGCTCTTCTCTATGACACCTGAACTTTATGAATTTAAGCGCAGTACCAGACACCGCGATCGATTTATAGTTGAGCTGGATAGAAGTAACCGTAAAGTCTATGCTAACAGTTACTTTTCTCGCACTTCTCCCTCGTGGAACTCCCTTCTGGCTTCATGCTTTCCAGCCAACATCAATCTGCAACAATTTACATGCAATGTCAAAGGTTAACTGCTGTTCTCCTGATTACTCTTTCCTCTTCCTGTTCATTATTAATGTTTCTGTTCTTAATTCTTCCACACTCTGTAAACCCTTGCGTTTTAGTGGCTTTACTCTCTTGTATGTGGTGAAACTGATTAAAAAAGTAATTTAAAAATGCAACCTCAACTTTCACCTATCTCCTTGAATTCTGTTTTTTTTTATTGTCCACTAGACCAAAAGTTTTCCTAATTTCACTCTCAGTATCCCATTGCGCCTCAGTGGATTTGTTGCCATCCTTCGGAGTGATATAATAAAAACAATTATAAATAAATATATAGATGAATAAAATACCTTAAGATATAACATCTATTCTAGTGCCCTTGATTTATTTAGAAATTCTTGATACAATCCAAAGAATCTGTAATGTTATTGGCCCTGACCTGGCATCTCGGCTTCAGTCACTTTCCCACCGCCGTAACGTAGATTCTCTCTGCATTTTCTATAAATACTTTCATGGTAATTGTTCTGATTTTCTTTCCACTATAGTACCTAGACTTTATGATTTTAAGCGCAGTACTATTGCAAGCAATTAACTTGGCTAGAGTAACCGTAAGTTCTATGCTAACAGTTTCTTCTGTCACACTTCTCTTCCGGCTTCTTGCTTTCCCAGTCAACATTGATCTTCAAAAATTTAAATTCAATGTCAATCGTTATCTTCTGTCTTCTTATCTCTTTTTTTATTGTTCTCTTTCATTAATAATAGTTTTCTCATATTCTCCAAACACTCAGTAACACATTCCGTCTTAGTGGCTTTATTGCCTTGCTTGGGGAGAAATACTTACAAAAAGGAGCTTATTAAAAGTACAAAATTTGATTATTGTTAAAACAGAGAATATAATTTTTAAAAAATGGTAAAATAAATCTACGGTAATTGGCTATACGAAAAAGATAAAATAATGATAATAAAATAATATCAGCAGTAGTAGTAGCAGCAGTAATAATAATAGTAGTAGTAGAAGTAATGAAATGGAACAACAGAATGATCTAACCGGTTATCGCTCCTCACTCAACAGAACTCGATCTGTGAATGTAAAATTGTTGTGAGTAACTGACTGATAAAGCATAAAAATGATATATGTGTAAGAATAATATATTGTGGCGAGTATAGTTTATAAGCAAATACCATTCAATTCTCAAAAATGATTCTTCTGTTTACTTACTGAAAATTGTCACCGTTTAATGAAAATAGTTTCAAAGACTTGAATGTGATCAAACAACCTACTTTCAACGACTTGAATGATCAAAATATAGTTTCAATGACATGAAAGTGATCACACAACATAGTTTAAACCACTTGAAGGCAATCAAAGAACATAGTTTCAATGTCTTGTATGTTGTTATGTAAAATAGCTTCAATAACTTAAATGTGATGAAACAAAATAGTTCCAATGACTTGAATCCACTCAAACAACTGTTATGGAGTGATTTCACAGTGGAGGCTTGTATTTGTACTAAGTCGATTCTAAAATAGGTTCGACGTACAAAACGTTAGGAACTTCATATAATAGTTATAACGTAGAGAAATCTAGTTGTGGTCGCTGATACCTTAATATTCGACTAACGGTCGTCCGGCATCGACTGGCTGACCGACCGAGTATTAGTGGCTTTATTGCCTTGCTTGAGGTGAAATGATTAATATTAATAATAAACGTTTTAAGATGGATTCTTTTTAAAAAGCACAATTTTGTTTTAAAAAAATCAATCCAATTTTACAATGCCAAAAACAATTTGCGAATGGGAAGTGTAAATATCTGAAAATATAATAAGAAATTAAAATAGTACAATGTAAGTGTAATGTAAGTGTAAGATAGTATGATGTAAAAGAAAAAACAGTATAAAGTAAGTGTAAAATAAAGAAATGGAAAAGAGGAGAAGGAGAGAAATAGAGAGAACAGTAAATTAATAATTATGGTGGTAGAGAAATTAAAACGCGCAAGAGAAGAAAAGAAAGGAGAAAGAGAATAGTAAATAGGGGGGGAATAAGAGCGAGATAGAGGAAATCGAAAATGAAAAATAGGGAGGAAATGAAAACGAAAGGTCAAGGATGATAAACACAAGAAATAGGGGGATAAGAGTGACAAAGAGGAAGCTAAACACGTAAAATAAGACGAAATAAGAGCGAGAAAGAGGAAGATAATAACAGGAAATAGTGGTGAGAAAAAGAGCAAGAAAGAGCAAGATAAATACGGGAAAGAGGAGGGAAATAAGAGAGAGAAAGAGAAATATAAACACGGCAAATAGAGAGGGAAATATCAGAGAGAAAGAGGAAGATAAATGCGGGAAATATAGAAGGAAATAAGAGCGAGAAGAAGGAAGATAAACGCGGGGTATAGTGAAGTATATATAAATAAATACTTTCATAAAATAAAACATTATAATTTTCAATTTGAAACTTTTTCTATATATACATATTAAGAAAGTATACGTGGCTTTCATTATGCTATATATATATATATATATATATATATATATATATATATATATATATATATGAGAGATAAAGACGAAGATAAACACGGGGAATATTGGGGTGTATAAGAGTGAGAAAGAGGGAAGATAAACACGGGGAATAGAGGGGCAGATAAGAGCGAGAAAGAGGAAGATAAACACATTACATAGTGGAATGGAATAAGAGAGTGATAGAGGAAGGAATGGGGGGAATAAAAGCGAGAAAGAAGATAAACTCGAGAAATGAGGGTGGGATATAAGAACGAAAGTGTAAGATAAGCACGTAAATAGGATGGAAATAAGAGCGAGAAAGAAGATAAACGCTGGGAATAGATGGGTATATATATATATATGAGAGAAAGAGGAAGATTAACACGAGCAATAAGCGGAAATAAGAGCGAGGAAGAAGAGGATAAAAGCAGAAAATATAGTGGGAAATAAAAGAGAGAAAGAAGGTAATAAACACGTGAAACAAGGGGTGTATAAGAGCGAGAAAGAGGAAGATAAACACGGGAAATGGAGGGGCAAATAAGAGCGAGAAAGAAGAAGATAAATACGAGCAATAGCGGGTGGGGGGTGAATAAGAACGAGAAAGAGGAAGATAAATGCAGAAATAGATAGAAAAATAAGAGCGAAGAAACGGGAGATAAATGCGGGGAATAGGAAGATATATATAAACACGATAAATAGAAGGGAAAATTAGAGTGAGAAAGAGGAATGAAAACACGGGAAATAATGGGGGGATAAGAGCGGGAAATAAGGTAAAAAGAAGAGGGGGGAATATAAGCGCGAAAGTGTAAGATAAACACGTAAATAGGAGGGAAATAAGAGCGAGAAAGAGGGAGATACACATAGGCAATAGTGGGGGCAAAAGAGCGACATACATGAAGATAAACGCTGGAAATAGAGAGGGAAATAAGAACGAGAAAACAGGCGATAAACGCGGGGAATAGATGGGTATACAGTGTAACCCGGATATAAGAGACCCAGATATAAGAGAAACCCGGATATAAGAGAGATTTTCTCTGGTCCCAAATTAGAGCCTGTGTTAATGTATATAAATTAGACCAAACCCGTATATAAGAGAAACCCGGATATAAGAGACTTCTTCTCCGGTCCCGACAACTCTCTTATATCCGGGTTACACTATATATATATATATATATATATATATATATATATATATATATGAGAGAGAAAGAGGAAGATTAACACTAGCAATAGGGGGGAATTGGAGCGAGGAAGAGGGAGATAAACGCAGGGAATATAAGAGAGAAGGCGGGTAATAAACACGTGAAATAAGGGGGATATAAGTGCGAGAAAGAGGAAGAGAAACACGGGAAATAGAGAGGAAAATAAGAGCGAGTAAACGGGAGATAAACGCGGGATTAGAGAGGTATACATATATATATATATATATATTAGAAAGAGGAAGATAAATACGGGATAGAGTGGGGGGGATAAGAGTGAGAAAGATAAATATAAGCACGGGAAATAGAGGCGGAAATATAAGAGAGAAAGAGAGGGTGAAATAAGAGCGAGGAATAGGAAGATAAACACGAGAAAAAAAAGGATATATAAGCCCAAAATAAGAAGCTAAACACATAAAGTAATATCGAAAAAGAGTAAGATAAACACGTAAATAGGGGGAATGAGAGCGAGAAAGCAGTAGATAAAACAGAAAATAGAGTGGGGGGAAACATAAGAAAGAAAGAATAAAATAAATGCGGGAAACATGGGGAAATAAGAGCGAGAAAGTGGAAGATAAACGCAGAATACAGAGAGGGAAAGAAGAGCGAGGAAATGGGAGATAAACACGGGAAATAGAGGTATATATATGTGAGAGAAAGAGGCAGATAAACATGGTGAATAGAAAGGGAAATATAAGAGAGAAAGAGGAAGATAAACACAGGAAATAGTAAGGGGAATGAGAGCAAGAAAGAGGAACATAAACATGGGAAATAGAGGGAAAATATAAGAGAGGGAAAGTTAGATAAACACTGGAAATAGTAAGGGGAATGAGAGAAAAAATGAGGAACATAAACACTGGAAATAGAGGGGAAAATAAGAGTGAGAAAGAGAAAGATAAACACGGGAAATAGTGAAAGGGATAAGAGCGAGGATGAAGATAAGCGCAGGAAATAGAGGGGGGAAATAAGAGCGAGGAAGCGGAATATACAAACAGGAAATAGATGGAGAAATATAAGAGAGAAAGAGGAAGATAAACACGAGAATACAGAGGAGGTTTAGAGATACTGTAGGAAACAGAAAAATTATCAGGAATTAGGAAAGGGAATGAAGTATAAAGACAGAGAAAGAAGAAAAAAGAGAAAGAAAAGTGTTCATTGGAAAAGGAGAAAGCGAGATAGTGTGTGGAAGAATGAATTAAAATGAGAAAGAAAGTAAATTGGTAAAGAAATGAGAGAGAGAGAGAGAGAGAGAGAGAAGCAGCAGCACGTGAAATAGAGAGAAAGAAAGAGAAACAGAAATGTGAAGGTGTGCTTCGATGTGGTATAAGAGGGAGCTTGTCTCGCTAGATCAGTTAGGACTGAATTAGAGTGTGTTCGATCCATACTTTCGGCCTTGTACCACATCTTTGCTAAGCTTAGAAAATCACCATTGGACACTTCGACATGGAGTAATGGTTAGCAAGCTTGTCTCGCTAGGTCAACTAAGACTGAATAGTGAGATCGATCGGCCTTGTGCCACATCTGAGCTACGCTTAGAAAATCACAGAGAAAGACAAGTAGGAAGGAGTTAAGCGAAGCGAAGAGCAAAAAAGAATGAGAAAGACAAGTAGAGAGAGTTAAGAGAAGTAAAGAGAAAAAAGAATGAGAAAGACAAGTAGAAAGGAGTTAAGAGAAGTGAAGAGGAAAAAAGAATGAGAAAGACAAGTAGAGAGAATTAAGAGAAGTGAAGAGGGAAAAGGAATAGGAAAGACAAGTAGAGAGATTTAAGTGAATTGAAGAGGAAAAAAGAATGAGAAAGACAAGTAGAGAGATTTAAGAGAAGTGAAGAGGAAAAGGTTGGGAGTCTGGGATCGATTTACATCAGTAGACAGAAATAAAGTGAAGTAATTACTGATATGATACTAAAGGTGTCTCACTAGAGGAAAAAGAAAAAAAAGAGTATCAATTTTATTTTTGCGCTATTTTCTATCTATACACTTGTGTAAACAAAGAGATAGACGGACATGATGATAGTGATAAGTTGTTATTCTTTACAAACTTCATTGCTCAGCCTAGGGTTGTTCAGACTGAGTAGGATAAATAATGTATTATTCGAATTTCTTCTTTCAAACTCAGACAAATTGTGTGCGTATTTTTAAGTGTGATTGTTTTTTCGTGTACGTTAAATGGCCCTCATGTAAGTCACTCAGGCACACCACAGACATACGCACATATATTACAAACGCGTGTGGCGGACAGGGAATCAACTCTGCTTTTATAATATAGATTATTATTATTATTATTATTATTATTATTATTATTATTATTATTATTATTTCCTTTGATTTCTGACACATTCACATTTTCTTCCGGGTCCCAAACAGAGATCTAAGGTCAGAAATGGCATCATGACTTTTTCCACGGAAAATCTTTGTAAAATAAAAAATAAAAAAATAAAAGACAACTTAAAATCAGACGTATTTTATATAGATAAAGCCCTCCTTAAGGTGACAGCTGTACTTGTGAATACAATATTTGGTATTTCTATAAGGCATGAGTTACCAGGATCACTCCAATCAATCTATGGGAACAGTTTTCAAAATACTATTATTATTATTATTATTATTATTATTATTATTATTATTATTATTATTTCCTTTGATTTCTGTTGTATACTAATTTCGGTCCTGTTTCCAGCCAGAGACCTAATGACAGAAAAATCCTCATGACACTTTCCACTGAACATTTTTTGTAAAAAACAAAACAAAAAATAAAACCAAAATAAAAAGACATTCTTGGATCAGAACATTTTATAAAGTCCTTCCTAAGGTGTGAACTGTATTTGCGAGTACAATATTTTTTTTTTATATTTCTCTAAGGATTGGAAACCCTTCAGTGAGTCTATCGGAACGTTTTCTAATCAATCCGAGGGCTCCAACTACAACTGGAATTATTGATGTTCTCATGTGGCACATATTATTATTATTATCATTATTTTTTTTTTCTATTTTATACTCATTTCTTTCTGGGCTCCAGCCAGAGGCCTACTGTCAAAAATGACATCATAACATTTTTACAATGAATATTTTTGTAAAAAAAAGAAAGAAAAAAAGAAGACAAACTGAGATTACACAACACACATTTTACATTGTTTAAAGTCCTTCGTAAGGTGTGAGCTCTACTTGTAAATATATTTTTTTGTATTTTATTTAAGGCATAGGCTACCAGGGATCCCTTCATTGAATGTATCAGAACATTTTCCAATCAATTATTATTATTTCAATATTTCGACTGATCTTCTTCGGAGTGCTGAAATGTGGAAAGACATATTGATTTACAAAATAGTACGTACATCTCATTATTTATTTTAATGCATCGATTCGCAAAACTTCAGTGAAGCATTCATTGCTAATTGAATTCAGAATTCTGTGATTTAGCAATCTGTTCTCGAGAGGAAACAGCAAAACCAAGCCTTGAAAATGACCTCTACGTACAACGTGGGCAGTAAGTTTTACTTTACTGAAAATCTATTTTGGTGCATCGAGAAACCCAATGTACAGTTCATTTCTTTTCTGACGTCACTAGAAAATCGATAATAATGGCGTGAATCATTCGACGCCATTTTTGTTTTCTGGAAATTTATCAGATCGAGGCTGATTGTGTATTAGGAAAATAAAAGGGAATTCCCTTGAAAGGCCTATGACATAAAATATACACTGATGACGTCAAAGGATTCTCTATGCTCGAAGTGCGCGTTGGTAGTGAATCATAATTTATTTTGGGTGACTGGGGTAGGTTTTGCATTACACAGAAGAAGAGTTGTAATGAGGTGTGGAATAATAAAATGAAAAATAAACAGTGCGAAGCAAGACTGAAGAAACTATCAGAAACTGAATAAAACAAAATGGAAGAGACGATCAATAGAAAAGGCTTGAATAGACGAAAGAAAACGTAGTGGGTATTAACAAGTATGAGAAGAGCGGCGAGAGAAAAATGAGAGAAAAGGTAGGGGGAATAACAAGTATGAGAAGAGCAGCGAAAGAAAAATGAGAGAAAAGGTAGGGGGTATTAACAAGTATGAGAAGAGCTGCGAGTGAAAAATGAAAGAAATAATATAAAAATAGGTGGTTTTGACAGATGAAGAAAAGAAGAAGAGGATGACACAATAAGGAAAATGGAGAACAAAAAGGAGAAGGAGAAACTTATTTTCACAAGAGGGAAATTAGTAACATTAAATATTTCAAATGCGAAAGAAGACAAAAGAGAAGACAGAAGAAAATGTAAAACTGGATGTTGCTGTTCTTCTATGTTTCGTGTCAATTCAGGATATTGGCGATCATGGCTCTGTTCATGTAGCTCTTAATAACTTTTGTCTTTTTGCCATCTCTCCCATGCCCTTCTCTATTCACTCTGTCTCTTAATTTCCCTTGTCTCCCTTCATTTCTTATGTCTCCCTTACTTTCTTCTGTCTCCCTTACTTTCATCCTGTTCTGTGAGTATCAAATTTTCCAAGCCCCCTTTCTTTATTATGTGTCCCAGAAACTTCAACTATTTCTTTTTGATGGCAATTATGTGTTCTTTTTGTTGCCATTGTCTCCAGAACTTTGTTGCTCACATGTCTGTCCCATGGTATTTTCAACATCCATCTATCAAACCAAATTTCTGTTGCTTCAAGTCCCTTCTTCATCTGTGAAGGAGATTGTCACGATTTCACTGTCATATAGGATGACTGATATTACATAACAGCCCAGTATTTTGTTTCTAAGGCTTCTGCTTCTTAATATTTTGCTCGGCTTTTGGAAGGCATCTTTTTCTATCGCAGTGCACCTTCAGATTTCCCTGTCGCACTTTACATTTTCTATTAACATACTTCCAAGATGTTTAAATTGTTGTATTGATTTGGTTTTTGGTATCTCCAATCTATATTTTGCATGTCGGGTTGTTCCTTTTGCTAACAACTATGTAGCCAATCAGGACAGACTTATTTCTATAGGTGGCAACTGGTCTAAGAGAAAGTAACTCTGAATTAAAAAAGAAAAACTGTATGTCGCACATACTATACAGCTAAAGAAAGGATGGTTCGCATTGGCTCGATGATCCGGACTACGAATGATGAAAGAATAAAAAAAAAGAGAAACATTAAGAAGAGAGAACAACAAAAGAGTAATCAAGAAGATTACTGGGAAGAAAGAAAGCGGAAGAGAGTTCCACACAATAGAAGAAACTGTTAGCATAGAACTTACGGCTACATTTAATCATTTCAACTCTAATATGATGAGAACTTGTAGCCAATCTGCGCTTAAATTCATGAAGTCTAGGTACCATAGAGGACAATATCTGCAAGAAAAAAAAAGTAAGAAGAGATGTATGTCTGAGGTGGTGGTGATGACTGTCCGCTTGCATCAGATTATTCCAGTCGGTTAGCTAATCCCTGTATATAATGCCCCGCCAATCCATGTATATAATGGTCAGCCAATCCCTGTATATAATGGCTAGTTACTCTCGTTTTCTGTTATGGGACCTTACCCATAATAACATAATGGACTATTCCATACGTAATAAATACTGCGCCTCAAGAAGAAGCATAGAGTTCAGTCTGAAATCTGGAGTGAAGTCCGTCAGGAGTCTGTCAGTCAGAGCGAGCGAGTCAGTCACTCGAGTCAGAGGCAGATCGAAACAGAGTCGCGTTCGTACTAACACTTTCTACTTCTCTGTATATATTCCTGTTTGTAAGATATCTGTGTTATTCCATACCTGTTCGAGTTCTTCTTTATTGGTTCTACCTTGGACTATCACCGTGGTACAAGGAACCGGACCATAACATTTTCCGAGTACACTTGTCCGATAGGTCGGCTAGCATATTTGCGTTTATACAATCCCCAGAACGCACATGTGGTTTATACTGCAACTATGCTGAGTAGGCCTTAGTTACAGTTCCCGGGAAAAAATAGATTATATGGTGTGATCAAGTGTCTGGAAAAGGTCGGTATTCTCAAATACTCGGTCACGATGACTTGAGACTTCATTCCATTCTAGCACAACCATCGACAGCTCCAAAATAGTTCCGCGAGGTTCACTCACAAGATTGGGCCAAGCCGTGGTATAGTTTTTAGGCAATTTCAAAAGGTGCCTCACGCTGGGATCACTTCAACAAGAAGTCATCTTTCTGAAAAAAAAATTCCCCACGGTGAGATTTGAACCCGAGTCTCATGATTGGAAAACGAACGTTATAACCACGCCCCCTTATGCACCTAAGGTAGAACGTAGCACAAGATGTATATTTGCGGTAAAGACAGAGGAAGTCATCGAGAGGTGGGAAGACTTCACCAACAATGCCTCACGCTGGAGACGCAATGTACCCCTAGTGCTGGAGCGAGGAGAGAAGAAACAGAGGCTCGCCGCCGGGGTGAAGCGTGTTCAACGGAAAGAAAACAACACGGCAACATCGGTGGAGAGCATTTTCACATGCATTCGTTGCAATCGAGACTGTCACACGCACGCCGGTGGGTACGGCCATAACAGATGCTGTGCCGCCATCAGCAGGTGAGACATAACTCTTTGAATTGAGTTATATGAGCTGCTGGCTTGTTTCCTTCCCTGTCGTACGACGATGGCCTAGAGGTAAGAGATCTGACTGATCTCAAAACAATCGGGTTTCGATCCCGGTTTGAGGCAATCGGATGTCTAACCATACTGAGGAGCTGATTATATAAATATATATTTTTATTTATTTATTTTCAAGCATTACTCTTCAAGTACAATTGAATTGAGTTCTATGAGCTGCTGGCGTAATTTGTATAGAGAAAAACGTTAACATTCCCGCTCTTCCCTGACATGTGACGATATCTGACTGATGTCAAATTGATCGGGTTTCAATCCCGTCTTGAAGGATTCGGACGTCTAGCCACACTGAGGAGCTGTGATACAGTGAAACCTTCTGACTGTGGATGACTCTTCAAGTAAAATTGAATTTAGTTCTATGAGCTGCTGGCGTATTTTGTATAGAGAAAAACGTTAAAATTCCCGCTCTTCTCTGAGGAACTGTGATACAGCGAAACAGTCTGTCTGTAGATGACTATATATATATATATAAGTTTCGTTAAAGACGACCGACAATGTATTGTGTATTTAAGCAACAATTCCTCTTTTATATATGTTTCGCAAAAAAAAAAAACTAGTAAGGTACTGCCATTAAGCATTTTATTTTTTTTACATGTGTTTTCTTAAACAGTGAAATTAATAACTAAAGCTTATTCCTTCTTCTCTGCTCCGTGTCACATCGAGACCGAGGGGATTATGACTCTTGACAATTTCCTTTCTTTTGTTGCTCTTTTTGACTTCGTGTTATCTCTCCTAAACCTTGCCCCACTATCTATTTACTTAAACTCGCTAGGAAGGGTAAGTATGTTTCACTATTTAAGAAAATAAAAAACAAACAGAGATGGGAACTCAAATACGCGGACCTACTAAAAATAACTTTCATCGTAATAAGAAATAAAGTCGGCTAAAAAAAAAGTCCTTTAATAAAATCCTTTAAAAAATCCTTAAAAATCCTTTAAAAATCCTCTAAAAATCCTCTAAAAAATCATTTCAAAAAATCCTTCAATAAAAATCCTTTAAAAACCCTTAAAACATTCTTTAAAAATCTTCTAAAAAATCCTCTAAAAATCCTTTAATAAAATCCTTTAAAAAATCCTAAAAAATCCTTTAAAATCCATTAAAAAATTCTTTAACAAATTCTTTAAAAATATCCTTAAAAATCCTTAAAAATCCTTTAAAAATCCTTTAATAAAAATCCTTTAAAAAAATCCTTTAAAAGATCCTTAACAAATTTTTCAAAAAATCCTTGAAAAAATTCTTTTAAAAATTCTTTAAAAAAATCCTTTAAAAAATAATTTTAAAGAACTCTAATAAAAATCATTTAAAAAGTCCTTTAAAATTCCTTTTAAAAAATCCTGTCAAGCGAATAAATATGTCTGTGTGTTTTTCTGTGTGTGTGTGCGTCCGCGCGCGCATGCATGTGTGTGCTACTTTTTCATTTGTTTCATTCTTTCGATTTGTGCTTTTGAAAAGTTGATAGTATGGCGATTAAGTCCTTGTAACCTTTAATATTCTCTCCTAATACAGTGATTCGCAAATGTGCCGCGTGATACTCTTAAGTGTAACACGAAATATTGTCACAGCATGTATATCTATGCGTGTACGGAAGTAATAATGGCACAGCGTTAGTATTTGAATAAATGGATAAGACTTAAACTTTTTTTTAGAATAATTGCATTCGCTATTCTTCGATTATGTTATTTTACATACTTAGTTTTAATATTCATTTTTTAAAATGTATTTTTATTTTTTTAAGAGCTCAAAATAAAACGTTCGACGGTACCTATTGATAGATTTTGGATTTCAATACAAAACGAATATTCCTCATTAACTAAAAAGGCTGTATCAGTTTTATTGCAATTTTCTACTTCTTATTTACATGAATTAGGCTTCTCAACCCTAAATAACATCAAAGACAAGAAGCGATAAAAACTACACTCAACTCAAAAAAAAAAAAATGAGGGTCTGCTTATCGTACATTCGACCAAACATTGAAGAAATAAGGAAAAATCACCAAGCAAAGGTTTAACACTAAATAAGCTGAACAAATAGTTGAATAGAAACATTGAAATAAAGTAACTTCATATTTGTGCGGGTATTTTTTAATCTATGGTTTTATTTCATTTAAATGTACACTCTTAAAAAAATTGCTAAGTATGCCGTGATATGTTCATTCGCTCTTAAGTGTTCAGTTCCTTAAAAAGGTTGAGAAACACTGTTCTAATATTTCCGAATTCGTCAATGAATTTTCTCTCGAGAGAAAGACGAGAAAAAGACGCGAAAGAAATGCTGGCCGGAGCTCATTCAGTTTGCCTTGTTATAAGAAATGAAGTTAACAAACCCATAGGAACGGAAAACCTATCTCGATTTCAGCGAGAGAAACAATATCAAAATATTTCCTAAAGCAATTATCTACTCAGGCCTTTCCTTTTTACGTCTCATATTTCTCATTCAATCAATAAAATTCCCGTGTCTACCTTCAGGAGAATCGAAAGAACTGTTCCGCCTACGATTTCTTACTGAATGCATTCTGAAAATTCACTCATTTTTTTGGTTTGGTTTGTTTAATGGCATATCAACTCTTTATGGGTGATTTAATGCCTAAATTTAATTTTTATACGTGCTTTGGTATTTTTTTTTTTCGAAAATGTATTACTGTTGATTTTTTTCTCTTCCTTTTCCAGTAATGTAACTTTGGTAATTTTCTTTTTACAATGAAACTGTATTGTTGGTATCCTTGTACAAAAATGTATTCTTATACTTTCATAATGTTTTCACCCTCTTTGCCCATAGCTGAGACCCTTCAGGTACTACTAACCCGGGTCAGGTTCGATCTGGGGACAACAGCAATTAAGAGGTGGTTCAAAATTTCTCAAAACCTCCAATTACCCGATCAGGGGCCTCGCTGCCGGGTCTCACTTGTTATACCCTGATCTAAATACTTTGGATCTCCTCCTCAAAATATATGTCTGGTAATATCATGTTATACCCTGGTCTAAATACTTTGGATCTCCTCCTCAAAATATATGTCTGGTAATATCATGTTATACCCTGGTCTAAATACTTTGGATCTCCTCCTCAAAATATATGTCTGGTAATATCATATTTATACCCTGGTCTAAATACTTTGGATCTCCTCCTCAAAATATATGTCTGGTAATATCATGTTATACCCTGGTCTAAATACTTTGGATCTCCTCCTCAAAATATATGTCTGGTAATATCATGTTAGAAGGCTTTGATCTTGAGCTGGTGAGATAAAAATTTTTGCCTCCGGTTTTAACCCAGGATTCAGCAACCACTGATGACTCAGATTGTTGTCATTGTCAGGATTTCGTTCTCACGATGGATTTCGGTCATGGATGTTTACCCACCCACCCCCTGATATTTTTTTATGAAAAATTATTTTTGATTTCTGTTTAGTAGGGGTCCTTAATTTCTGTTTGGAGGTTCACGATTTGTCCATAGCCGGGACCCTAATAGGCGCTATCAGCCAGGGTCAGGGTGGATCCTGGAACAACAGCAATTAAGAGGTGGTTTCACGCGCCCCAAAACCTCCCAAGAAAAGACCTTGCAGCCGGATGTAGTCTATCGTCATACCCAGGACGATAATTTTTTGTTCTCTATCTCTCTCTATTTACATAAAATGCATAATTTAGTCACATAATCTTCTCTGGTCCAAGGTTACAATAACATAGACAACAATTCTTCTACTTTTATTGGTCAAGTCCTTTCAGGTGGTAACTGATGCGGGCCTTCGGTAACTTACTCGCTTTTGTTATTGTAACTCTTGTTCTTTTATAATACTTCATTAGCTTTTTTCTGTTATCCGTTCACTTAAACTTGTTAAGTTGTTCGCTGTTCCCCACTTTGTTTCACATGCTTTCACTATACCCTATGAGTGCTTAATTCTCTAGGCCTTCTTTCCTGTCTCACAGAAAATTCAAAATGTCTCCCTCTCTGATTGGAAATTTCTTTGCTGTTCCTATTTTCCTTAAGAGTTCCTAGTTCCCTTCATATGAAATCTATGGTATTCTCAGAATCCTTCTGTAGAACCGTATCAAGATCACGCTTCCTCTAGGGAGAAATGATCTAGTACTCCCTGTCATATAAAAGTACTGATATTACATAGGAGTTCAGCACTTTTTTCTATAGTCCTGGGTATGACTATAAACTACATCCGATAGCAAGGCCTCTGATTGGAAGATTGGAGATTTTGAGGATCGTGAAAGCACCTCTTCTGGACTGAAAGGGTGACTCTAACCTACCTACTGACATTGAGTAAATTGACGTCAGAGCAAGATTTAGGAGGGATAACATAAAGACAAAATTTATTAAAAGCTAAAACAGGAAATTGTGGAGAGCTGTGATCGTCAAGTTCCTGAAAGGACACGACACACAGAAGAAGATCCTTTATTAATACCAGTTGGGTACCTGTCGCTTCGCTGGCGCCACACTCGGTGGTCCACTCTGACCTAGAGTGGTAGCACCTGTTAGGGTTATTCATTACCCCCGGGCTGCTATTAATTCTCGCGTCATTGTCGTTCTGGACAATTTTTATCACCAGAATCTATCTTAGATATTTATAAGTCTATAATTCGTCCTTGCTTTGAATATTTCTGCCACATCTGGTCTGGTGGTCCTGCTATATATTTAGAGATACTCGATAAAACCCAAAGAAGAGTCTGCAATGTTATTAATCCTGACCTGGCATCTCGGCTTCATTCCCTTTCCCACCGCCGTAACGTTTCCTGTGTCTTTTCTATAAATACTTTCATGGTAACTGTTCGGATGAACTTTCCTCTATGTTTGTTATTTTACACGCTCGGCACATTGTACATATGGGAACTAGTTAGGACTTCATAGAGACCCTGAGGTATTATGGTGTTGGGGCGCACCCACCTTCTAACTAGTAATGGACTGGTCCCTCTTATATAAGTCAGCTCTGGGAGAGAGTCAGCGTCAGCAGTCAGATACTTTCTGAGACTGATCGGTTCAACTCTCTGTCTCCGGACGGAGAGGAACCCGAAGGAAAGCTACGCCGAAGGGCTTTTGTCTCCTTCAGGGGAGGATCGCTCAGCCCTGAACCCGTTTATACGGGTTCAAATTCTTATCATTACGGCTGAGCCTAATGGCTCAGGAATGCCCCATTAAAAAGGCCTTGTGCCGCAGGACACCCTCGTGGGTGGGTGGCTGAATATCTCAGCAGTCAGATACTTTCTGAGAGACTGATCGGTTCAACTCTCTGTCTCCGGACGGAGGAACCCGAAGGAGGCTACGCCGAAGGGCGAAGTCTCCTTCGGGGAGGATTATTTCAGCCCTGAACCCGTTTATACGGGTTCAAATGGGCTATTTTTGGCTGAGCCTAATGGCTCGAGGAATGCCCACATTAAAAAGGCCTTGTGTTTTTGACACCCTCGTTTGGGTGGGTGGCTGAATATCTCAGCAGTGATACTTTCTCTCAGATCGGTTCAACTCTCTGTCTCCGGACGGAAAGGAACCCGAAGGAGAGCTACGCCGAAGATGAAGTCTCCTTCGGGAGGATCGCCAGCCCTGAATATTTATACGGGTTCAAATACTATTTTTTTGGTTAAGCCCTAATATTCAAAAGGCCATTAAAAAGGCCTTGTGCCATGGACACCCTCGTGGGTGGGTGACTGAATATCTCAGCAGTCCAGATACTTTCTGAGAGACTGATCGGTTCAACTCTCTGTCTCGGACGGAGAGGAACTGGAAAGGAGGCTACGCCGAAGGGCGAAGTCACCTTCGGGGAGGTAAAACCGGCCCTGAACCCGTTTATACGGGTTCAAATGGGCTATTTTTGGCTGAGCCTAATCCGGGAATGCCACATTAAAAAGGCCTTGTGCCGCATGACACCCTCGTGGGTGGGTGGCTGAATATCTCAGCAGTCCAGATACTTTCTGAGACTGATCGGTTCAACTCTCTGTCTCCGGACGGAGAGGAACCCGAAGGTTCGCTACGCCGAAGGGCGAAGTCTCCTTCGGGGAGGTCTCGGCCCTGAACCCGTTTATACGGGTTCAAAATTATTACGGCCGAGCCTAATGGCTGGGAATGCCCACGTTAAAAAGGCCTTGTGCCACATGACACCCTCGTGGTGGTGGGGGGGCTGAATATCTCAGCAGTCCAGATAAGCTTACCCGGTACATACCGTTGGACTATAGACTTTGGATATTGTTTCGTACTAACCAACCTTCGTTCTACTAATCACTCTATTGTTAATTGCTTTTATGAATATACCAGTATTTTCCTCTACAACTGTGTTTGTCTTGATTCATACACCAACACGTGGGAAACTCACAACATCTCAACATATGGTGGCTGTAGTAAGCATGGCAAGAATGTGATTTTGGTTTAAGGAATACTATGGTATGTCTAGGTCAGTAATTCTGACTAGATAAGACAGATTGAAGACCAGCCTTGGTATTTAGGCTTTATGATTTTAAGCGCGGTACTAGATTGGCGGCAAGGTCTCATTTTACTGTTGAATTGGCTAGATGTAACCGGAAGTTCTATGCTAACAGTTTCTTCTATCGCACTTCTCACGGGTGGAAATCCGTTTTTTGCTTCCCAGCCAACTTTGACTTTCAAAAACTTTTTAAATGTCAATTGCTATCTTCTGTATTCTTAATTCTTATTCTTTTATTGTCCTCTCTCCGAAATAGGAATTTGGTTTGCTTTGGGTTTTTTCATATATATATTCTAACACTCAGTAACCCCTTGCGTTTTAGTGGCTTTATTGTCTTGCCTGGGGTGAAATGATTACAAAAAAAAAAATTCCCTATTTCTATCATCTGTGCCTGGTCAATAAACGAATTCTCAAATCGGAGTCTGTTTCAAATTTTCGGTGTTCCCTTACGATGCCATTTTTAGTTTCAATCTGATCACGAATCTCGCCACCATTGAGAACATATTCTTCAGTTATCGATCAATTTATCGATAACGCACAAAACCAATTATTTACTCTTCTCCCATTACAATGTTTGCCCTTCCATTTCAAAATCGATAAAAACTATATACCACGCATACCACCCACGGGTGGGTCGGACTTACTAAACAAATACGTCAAAGCTTTCATCTTCCCTAATCATTATATATACTTACACGTCGTAAATATTATTTATATATGGAAAATCGATGATCCGAACAAAACAGGCGGATAGTATTGATTGTTCGAATAATTGATCCGATCATGAATAAAGGAATTAAAATAAGTGTTTAAAACTCGGGTTTAAAAGTTGCTTGCATTCAGTCGATTTTATTTTACAAATAACGTCACGTTAATTCTCGTTTAAATAACGCCAATATGGCGATAAAACTTTACGGAATCATGACGTAATTATACAGGATGCGGAAGAAATACTTCCCACACATCGCCAAAACATGAGCGAGATGAGGACACCATTACCACTAATGTCTTACCATTAAGTTGGAGGTTTATCTGGTAGCTATATGTGACAGATATTTCTGCCACACTCTGCAAGTCGTGGGTATGACGATAAACTACATCA